ACATCTGGGTTCTTATTTCTATAACATAGAGTGGTTCTGCACGTGTACTTGCCCTTCTGTAACTAACATATTTAAGTTATTTTTTACTTAGGTTGTCAAGGGAGAATACAAGATGTTTTCTTTTTGTAATGGTAAGTGGGTATTCGCATTGTACTGAAACTGTAATTTTATTGACGTGTTTATTATAGGTGTTTCAAGAGATTAGTATACCCTTGTAAAATAACAATATGATAGTTCTTCTATTGATGGTCTTCTATTGCAGTGTATATGGCAGGAAAGATACAAATGTCTACCTTCTCAACCGCCACCTGCATCTAAAAGTTCATGAATTTCTGGTGAACTTCACGGCTTCTGTTTTTGCCTCCGTTTGCAGTATAAAAACCTATTACTGGTTTACAGCTGTGGAACTATGAATTTACAGGTTAGGGCCCGGATTTCCACATGGATGGAACCAATATTGGGATCTGAATTTCTTTCTAAAATAAAAATAAGATTAGAACTGATTTTTCATGGTAATTACAAGAGTATGCTGTGTAAACATTTGGACACCAATTAGTGTATTGTAATATACAGTACATGTGTGTCACTGTGGGTGGATACTAATTTTAAATGTTTTTTATTTGGGTCTTGTGTAGAACTCCAGTGCATCTGTTTTTTTTTCCCATTTAGCTGCAGTGTGGTGTGTTTTTGACGTGTTCGTATTCATTTCTGCGCGTTGCGGTGCGTTCCGGACCAGAAAAAATGTGACATGCAGTATTTTTTCTGTCCGGAACAGAAAGCATTGCACTGGTGTGAACTGGAGCCCAGAAAACACATAGGGATACATTGTGATGCGTTTTTAGTGCAGGAGCTAACTGTCCTGATCTGGACAGAATACGGACATTGTGTGAACAAGCCCCAACTGTGGTTGAAATATCAACCACATAGGATATGCATTGTTATTTTGTACAATCAGCAGATTTAGACTTGCATTGTGAGACAAAGTGAAACACCATAATTGTATAGTACTGCAAAGCAGAGGCAGAGCATATTTTTAATTCCAGTTATCAAAAAAAGTCTTTACTGTTTCTTGAAATTAGCAAGTATTGTACTTGCTAGTAAACTAAAACTGCTAAAACAAGCAGTGAAGGGAAATCTCTCTAATTGTTCCAGATTGGGTTATAACCCTCCACTCCACATCTCCCAACCCCCCTTCCGAAAAAAAAAGAAAAATGTTTTGGCAGGACTTACTTTAACCCCTTCATGACTGAGCTTGTTTTTAGTTTCTGAAAGTGTAGTTTCCACCCACATTTAGAAAAAAACAGTGCCAGCAAATAAAATCTGAGGGATGGCACAATGAATATTTACCCTTTCACATCCTTCCCCCTCTCTTCACCAATACATTCAGCAGTGAAGGGTGATGTGAATTGTAATTTGCATAATCCCTCCTCGGCTCCCAAACCTGTTGTCCCAAGAAGCCTTGTGTTTCCCTTGCAAATTTCAGAGGCTTTTCATAGAAGCGGGCAATCTCCAGCCTTCCCTATACCAGTGCCTAAAACAACACATCAAATTCTGTTACCAGCACTGAGGTAAGCAATGTTAGTGTACCTGTTTCTAAATGTCAGCTATACTATTATATGACATATATTCCTCTCTCTGTACTAGGCTATGCTATTATATGACATATATTCCTCTCTCCTCTCAGCAGCAAATGCATTGTAACACACCAGATTGTAATCACACCAGATAGCTCCCAGCAGCAAATGCATTGTAACTATCTGGTGTGTTACAATGCATTTGCTGCTGGGAGCTGTCTGCAGTGATATACAAACATTTGGGAAAGAATGGGTCACTCTCGGGAGCTCAGTGATTTCGAGCATGGTACCGTGATTGGTTGCCACCTGTGCAGTAAATCCATCCATGAAATTTCCTTGATACTAAATATTCCACAGTTAACTGTTAGTGGTATTATAACAAAGTGGAAGCAACTGGGAACAACAGCAACTCAGTCATGAAGTGGTAGGCCACGTAAGATGACAGAGCTGGGTCAGCGCATGCTACAGTGCGCAGAAGTCTGCGGAGTCAATAGCTACAGACCTCCAAACTTCGTGAGGCCTTCAGATTGGCACAACAACAGTGCTTAGAGAGCTTCATGCAATGGGTTTCCATGGCCGAGCAGCTGCATCCAAGCCTTACATAACCAAGTGCAATGCAAAGCGTTGGATGCAGTGGTGTAAAGCATGCCACCACTGGACTCATGTCATATTGTTTACAGGGGCTGAAAGAAGGAGAAGATGCTTATCACTCTTAGCCTGAGGTACAGTATATAAGAGTAT